AAGAAAATGAAAGTATAGACTGAGGAAGGTTCTGTTGTCCTATGCCACCAGATAAGTAGACTGCACAGCCAAGAGGCAAAGGGTGACTTCTTCATCAAAGGCTAAGCAGAGTACAGAGAGTATGGACATAAATGCTGTTCTAAATTTGTCAATACCTAACAAATGTGATCAAATGAATAAGGTTTTTTTTTTTATCATGGATTGAAGATGTTTTGAGGGATGGCATATGGAACAAATCTGGTATATAGTATATGGAATATGCCTGGTATGTGGAAATGTGGGCGACATATTCTAAGGTTTAGGACTATCTCTGCCTCTGATTCTTTCTACCTATATGACTGTAGGCAGGGCAAGGCCCTCCTTGGTCTCAGTTTCCTCATCTGTAAAAATAGGAGGTTAGACTAGGTGGGCTGTGAGGTCCCTCCCAGATTTAGATCTATAAACCCTAGGATCATAGTTTTAACTAGCATAGGGTGAGTTGGGCCTTGCCTCACAATGCCAGTTTGGGGGATGGAACCTGCTTTCTCCTGTCTTCTATGGGCACAATGGCCCTTTGGTTCTCACCTATTTTTCATGCAACTGTATCAAAAATCCATCTGTGCTCTTTGCCTCTACTCTGGCCTTTCTCCTCAGCTTGATATTTTTAATTTGAGGTGAAAGAAATCCTAGCTACAACACTAATAAAAATATAATGATAGATGAAAGGTGAAGAAAGAAGTCCTATAGCTGCCCTCATACTAGGGGACTTTCAACATATATCCTACTGACTCAATTCCTCAACCTACTCATTTCCCATGAGCTACTCTTCCACTCCATGTCAGCCACACACAAATATGGCCATACTCTTGATCCTGCCCTCATCCACAAATGCACAGCTCTATGTTCAAGAATTTTGAAATCATCACGTTATCTAACCATAACCTATTGGCTTTTCATCTCTCCCTCTGCCTTCCTTACAGACTTTACTCTTCATCTACACCATGACCTTCAATTTCTCAACCTTTAATTTTCTCCCAGGCAATCTTCCCTGCACTAGCCTCTCTCCTATTCTCTCCATCTTGACCCCTTGATGAAGCAGTTCAATTCTAAGCTGTGCTCCTCCTCTCTTGAATCCTTAGCCTCTTTATCATATCACTAATTACATGCTGCCAAGTCTCAGCCTTCTATTATTCCCACTCTTTTCCACCTTCACTCCTTCACACATGTGGCTAGACAAAGACGGAGAAAATTACACAACCATTCTGACCGAGTCCACTACTAATTTCTGTTAGACAACCTCAAATGAGCCCTCATTGCTGCTAGACACTCCTACTATATTTCACTTATTAATGCACCATCCCACTCTCCATGTTGGCTTTTCCAAACCTCTTCATCCCTCCACAAACTTTCCACAGCTCCCACCCTCTCAGTTGAGAATCTTGCCTCACATTTTAGAGAAAAAAATTGAGGTCATTAGCCATGAATTCTCTTTCCCCCCCTCTTCCTCATCTCCTATCACTAAGTTGCCTTCTGCCACTTTCCCCTCCCCACCACCATCGTCTCACATGATGAAATGGCCTTATTCCTAACTAAGACTAAGGCTTCTCTACTTATTCAAGTGATCCCATTCCATCTCATCTCCTCTAACAGATTGCCCCAGCCTTGTCACCTCCACTCTTTCATTCAGTTTCTTTTTTTTGTTTGTTTGTTTGGTTTTGGTTTTTTGCTAGGCAATGGAGTTAAGTGACTCTCCCAGGGCCACACAGCTAGTAAGTGTTATGTGTCTGAGTCCAGATTTGAATTCAGGTCCTCCTGAATCCAGGGCCAGTGCTCTATCCACTGTGCCACCTAGCTGTCCCCTCTCATTCATTTTCAATTTCTCTCTGTCTACAGGTTCATTTCCTCCTGCCTGCAAACATGTCTATGTCACCTTCATCATGGAAAAACCCTCCACCCCTGCTAAATATCCTATACCTCTCCTGCCCTTTGTAGCTAAACTCCTCATAAAGGTTGTCTGCGTTTTTTCTCCTTTCACCTTCTCCTTAACCCCTTATGATCCAGCATTTGACCTTATTACCAACTGAAACTACTTTCTGCAAACTTGATAATGATCTCTTTGTTGCCAAATTCAATGGCCTTTTCTCAATCCTAATTCACCTTGATTTTTCTATGGCCTTTGACACTATAGATCACTCTCCCCTCCTTGCTACTCTCTTCTGTCTAGTTTTTTTGGATACTACTCTCTCTTGGTTCTCCTCCTATCTGACTGCTCCTTCTTTGTCTGCTTCGATGGATCTCCTTCCAGATCAAGCCCTCTAACCGTAACAGTCCCTGACGGCTTTATCCTGGGCTTTCTTCTTTTCTCCTTCCATAATATTTCACTTGGTGATTTCATCAGCTTAATTAGCATCTCTATTCTGATGAATCTCAAATCTATCTGTCCTGCCCCTAATTTATCTGCTGCCCTCCAATCTTGAATTTCCAGCTGCCTTTCAGACATCTCAAATTGGATGTCTAGTTGTTATTCAGTTGTTTTTCAGCCATGTCTTACTCTTCAAGACCCCTTTTGGGGTTTTCTTGGCAAAGATACTTGAGTGCTTTGCCATTTCCTCCTCCAGCTCATTTGACAGTTGAGGAAACTGAGGCAAACAGGGTTAAGTGATTTGTCCAGCTAGGAAGTGTTTGAGTCCAGATTTGAACTCAAGTATGAATCTTCCTGATTTCAGGCCTGGTGCTCTATCCACTACACCACCTGATTAATTGGTGAAGACCAAGAATAAATTTTTAAAATCTTTATAAATGGCAGACTGTTGGCTGCCTACCCTCACTACTAATTCTTTGTAGAAGTTCATGTTAAACATCACTTAAATACATGAAATTTCTGCTTTGATTAAGCAGAGAAAGGAGTGGGGTGCCTGTGGTCTGCTCTCCACACAGTACCTGGGTTTTGGGGAGCTTGGTAAAATTTAAATAAGGTATTAACTTGAAACCTGAAGGGATTACCAATGAACCACGGCCAGAGCTATCTGATGGGGGGAAGAAAACAGTAGGGCTACAGGCTACATATGCTATATCACACAATAGGATATTACAAAAATACTTAAAACATTCTTTAAAACAAAATTACTTATAATGCCTATTATTTGGGGGCAGGTTAGGAGTATGGGTTTAGAATGCAACAATGGAAAATATCATGAGACATTTAGAAATGATCGAGAACCACCATTAATCACCATTTTCTTCAGTATATTGACTGTCTAATGCATCAAGCAAAGCTATTTCTCAACTGTGAAGAGATTTCAAATCACACATGCAGTGCTCTGGGACACTAAAAATAGATGTCACAAATAAGACTATACTAACCAAGAGTAAAATGAAAATAGATAGCTTATATCCTGTGTGACTACATAAAGCCTATGTATTACAAATGCTCATTTCTGTTTACAGAATGAGTAACTAGATCAAAGGACATATTAATAATGAGCCCAAATTTCCTTTCTGCAGAAGTGAATAAGGAAATCCTTCTCGTGCCAACAGTAGTCCTGAATTTATGTTTATGGAGAAGGCACAGGGGTTACAGAATGTGGCTTTGATTTCTCTGCCAGGGAAGTCAGATCTGAATATAGCAGGCTCCTACAATAAAGAATCCTTCTCAGCAATGACTTTTTCTTAGCATCTATGAAAATGAATCCAACAAGATCCTCAGAAACTCTAGGATAGTCTGAAGACTGGCTTGCTATCCCCATTGCACACATGTGACTACCAGTATTTTGGATGTCATGCTAATTTCTAGGGGCAGAAGGGGGGTGAAGTGATTGTCTGATTTTGCCACTGATTGCCTTGGTGCTTCTCCTGATAAAAAGAGAGGCCCCGGTTACCCCGGTTACCACTTGTTACTGCTATACCTAGGACACAGCCCCATTTTCACTTGTCTTTAAAGTCCAGCAGATTGTTTTCAATCACATAGTAAGAGATGTTATTATGATCTGCATCAGGCTGCTTATGATTTTTGCCCTCTGAATAAGCACGCTTTCAGCTGATTTCAGGCAGATCTAATATTGAACGGTCCTTTTCTTCACATTCAATGTTTCAATAATATTGAACCCCTCCCTGTCGCTCACTATCAGCTCATCTTTTTCCCCCTTCCTTCTCTTTGTGAATGTTATCCCCCAGTCCTGAAATTGTCTCTCCTCACATATCCCTGACTGAAATCCTTCCCTTCTCTCAAGATCCTACCTCCTCTGTAAAGATTGCCTTGATTTCTTCCTTCTCCCTTCCCCTTACTGACCCCTTCCACTAGCTATAAGTAAATGCTCGTGTTCTGAATCTGCCATACCATTCTGGACATTTCCTGTGCACTTAGAACAAATCATAGTTATTTGTACATTTGTTTCTTTTGCATTTTCATTTGTTTTGGTCAGATCTGTGACTTCATTAATTTAACAAATTTCCAGAAAACAACAACAAAAAACCCTACTTCTAACAATTCAGATAGGCAACTCATCTATAACTTAACTGTTTATAGAGTTAACCCAGGCAATGAGAGCATAACAACTTACCTATGGTCAAAGATCTAACATGTGTCAGAGGCAGGAATCAAACCTAAGTCTTCCTGATATCCAAGACCAGCCTTCAATACATTACCCACGCTGGTTATCTTATTTGTTTTATCCCTACTTATTAGGGATCGTAAGTTCCTAAAGAGCAAGGATCCTGCCTCCTTTCATTTTTGCATCCCTCAGACCTAGCATAGTAGTAACAAGCAATTAATATTTACTGAATTGAAGTTTTTGGGACTTAATCATTTATCTTATGTTTATTAGTGAACTGTCTTATTTTCCATAATAGATTGTAAACTCTTTGAAGGCTGATTATTCTGAGTGCCATGTACAGAAACTTGCTCACTGTAGGCATGTTTGTTGAATGAATTGTTTGTGGAAGTGAATATGGTCATTCAGAACTCTAAAGTATGGCTGTGTTTACACTAGTTAAATTATCCTAATTTGCCTCTTGTATTACAGGTCAACACTTCTACAGCTCTGTCATGGCCTGGCCTTTGCCTTGGGTTCTCAAAAGCTGTGCGAGCTCAAGGTAGACTCTGGTGAGTCCTACCAAATAGGAACAAATGATACTTAAAAAGAATGTACTTGCTGACAGATTTGGTGTCTGTTGTCTGAAGACCAGTCCTGGCTTAGTCTAGCAGGACCCACTGCAAGTTTAGCATTCCATGATGATTAAAAAAAAAATCATAGCAACTCAAAAAGAAAGATTAAGTGGGGCTGGTAGAGAATATACTATATACTGGTGAACTCAATCTTCAGACTCCAATCCAATTTTTTATCCACTAAACAACATTCTCTTCTGAAAAACAAAAAAAACAAAACAGCATTTCTTTGTAAATACCAGATAAGTGGAACAGTAAATAGAGTGCTAGATTGGAATCAGAAAAACCTGGGTTCACATCTAGTCACAGACATTTACAAATTGGGTCTACCTGGGAAAGTCACTTAATCTGTCTTCCTCAGTATCCCTATTTGCAAAATTGGGATAATAAAAGCAACTACCTATCAAGGTTGTTGGGAGGATAAAATGAGACAAATATTCGTAAAACATTTTGCAAACCTTAAAGCCCTATATAAATATTGTTATTATATATTCTGCAAAGTCTCTCTGATGGAGATCTAATGCCCAAAATGTATAAGGAACTGATTCAGATCTGTATTAGTAACAGCCATTTGCCAATTGCTAAAGGGTCAATGAATACAAATAGATAAATTTCAAAGAAAGAAATCCAAGCTATCAACCATATGGAAAAATCCTCTAAGTCACTAGTAAATAGAGAAATTCAAATTAAAGCAACTTTGAGGTTCTATCTCATGCTTATCAAGCTGTCAAAGATGACAATTGAGGAAAATGACAAATGTTGAAGGGGTTGTAGGAAAACAGCCACACTGTAGCACTGTTGGTAGACCTATGAATTGGTCTAGTCCTTGTGGAAAACCATTTGAAATCATACCCCCAAAGTCACTAAATTGTCCATAAATTCTGACCCAGAAATGCCATCACTAGATGTGTGTTCCAAAGAGATCAGATAAAGAAATAAAGGGCCCATATGTGTAAAATTATTTGTAGCAGCTCTTTTCCTAGTAACCAAAAACCAGAAACTAAGGGGGTACTTACTGGCAAGGGATAGTTACAAATTATGACATATAAATGGAATGGAAAATTACTGTCCCATAAGAAATGATGAAATGGACAGTTATAGAATCTCAGAAAATCTCTATGAACTCATTCAGAACATAATGAAAAGAATTAGAACAATTTATAAGAAAACAACATTATGGGGGGAAAAACAACTTTGAAAGACTTTTGAACTTTGATCAGTGATAAACCATGAGCCCATAAGATAGAAGGTGAAATAAACCATTTACCTTCTGCCAGTGAGTTGGTGAACTTAAAATGTTGAGAAAAACACACTTCTCTGCATGACCAAAGTGGGAATTGGTTTTGCTGAGATGAGAAATTTTTAAATGTTCAATTTTTTTCAATTTAAGGAAGGATAAGGAAAGAGAAATTATGAATGCATGTAAAAATAAATGTATTCTTAAAAACCAAAGAAAAAAGTTATTCTTTAAAGATTAGATATTTTGCAATTCAGACTTTCCACGAATTTACACTTCATCCTTCCTCTAAAATTTGTAGGAATTGACAAAGTTGGACTGAGTGCCAAAGGGAAAAGAAACAGACTCTTGCCTATCCCATTTCTGTGTTACAATAATTCCTTTCCTAAGGGTCTCACTGGATTATTTTCTGTCTTGTCTCATCATTCCCATGTGCTTACCGGGGCTCACTTTTAGAACATATGGTATTCAGTTACTATGTTAATCTCTGGAGATTAGCCAGCTTCTAATGTGAAAACAAGATATGAGCACTTCTGTTATCTTCTAAGCTATGTGAGCACTTCTGATATCTTGAAAGGATATGCCATCCAGTGTGCACAGGTGGATTCCACAAGTGAATGTGTTGTGAAATTTCAATCTTTTTTTATAAACAAAAATCATCAGTAATGTAGGAAAGAGATATTTGCTCCTGAAGATTGTGAGTTTGTTTGTTTTTTTCTTGTCCCACGGATCCCTCATGGTACTGTTCCTACCTGCCTAAACGGAGCCTCCTTGATCTCCTTCACTGGCTGGTCATGCTTTCTGCCCCCCTAGTGTAGGTGTCCTATGATTTTTGTGACACTGCTTTGTCCTGATACCCTCCTAACTGAAATGAGTTAATATATGTAAAGCACTTAACAGTGCCTGACACTATATAAATGTTTATTCTCTTCTCTTCTTCCTTCCCTAACTTCATTATGTAGACTGTACAATCATCCTTCTAATCATGCAAGTGTGAATCCAGAGTGACCTTCAACTCTTCCTTTTTCTTCACTCCCAATCAGTTGCTAGGTTTTCTCAATTCTACCTCCACAATTTCTCTTGCACTCATAACATCTCCACACTCACAATGCTGCCATCCTAGGATCATAGCAGAGACCTCAAAGGCCATCTGGTCCAACCCACCCATTTCTTACCCTTGAGAACCGAGGCCCGGGGATTGGGAGGGGTGGGGTAACTGACTTGCCCAAGTCAACACAGGTAAGCATTAGAGGCAGGATTTGAGCCCAGATCCTATGATTCCAGACATAGTATTATTTCCATGATACCATGCTGCCTCGCTAATTTAGAGCCTCATCATCCTTCTCAGCTGAACTACTATATTTATTGTTGCTGTTTAGTCATGTCCAATTCTTCATGACCCCATTTGGCAAAAAGATTTCTTGGCAAAGATGTTGTAGAGGTTTACCATTTCCTTCTCTAGCTCATATTTTTAACAGATGAGGAAACTGAGGCAAAAAGGGTTAAGTGACTTACCTACGGTCACACAGCTAATAAGTGCCCGAGGCCAGATTTACACTCAGGAAGATGAGTCTTCCTGGCTCCAGGCCTGGTACTCTCTATCCACTGCACCACCCTACTGCCCTGGGCTATTGTAACTATTTTCTAACTTTAGCCCCTGATGGCAGTATCTCCTTTCTTCATGACTGTAAAAATAATAATCTTAAAGCACAAACCTGACCGTGTCTCTTCCTTACTCAAGTGAATTTTCTTTGCCTCTAGGATAAAATAAAAACTCTCCAACTAGGCATTTAAGGCCTTTCCCACTAAGGCTCCAAACTATGCTGTCAGTCTTATTTCACAAAACTTCCCCCTTATATATACATTCTAGCCCAAGTTGACTATTAGCTCTTCCTCAGACTAGGGATGCACTGTTCCTCCTCTATGCAGGCAATCTCCCATACCTAGAACACCCCTATCCCTTACTATCTGTTGACATTTTTCATTTTCAAAACCCAGAGCAGGTACCACTCTCCTTAAATCTATCTCAGCTGAAAATTAACTCTCCTTGTTCAAACTCCTAAGGCAGTCTGTCTGCATTCCTTTTTGGCCTCCCTCACATTCTATCTTATATTATTCTTATTTGTGTATGTATTGTATCCCTAGCCAGTACACGTTGCGAGGTCTGGGAGGGTTAGGGTTGTGCTTTTTTTTTTAATCTTTGTATCACCAGGTTCTCACACTGTGCCTTTGCCCCTTGTTGGTTAATTAATAAATGTTAGTTGAATTGAAATGTTGGAAACAACACTTCCGCTTTTGTATTGGTGACCATTTTTTTTCAGAGTGGTTATGCTTTGTGTTCACATTTAACTGGGATTTAGGGTTTGCAAAGCACTTTATTTTAGCCCCTAATGGTAGATAGAGCCTGTATTATCATTCCATTTGATGGATAATGTAACTGGGCTTTAGAGAAATGAAGTGATTTGCCCACAGTGAAATAGCCAACAAAAGTCAAAGCCAGAGCTAAAGCCTAGGTCTTCTGTCTTCAACTTCAGTGCTTTTCTCATTATGCCTTGCTTCAGTAATCTAAAAGATAAGTATAGGGATGATACTTGTAATTTCAAAGGTATAGAGGACTACCAGGTGAGCAAGCTCCCTCTACCAGTATAGGATAACATCTTCTCCAGAACATATTTTTAGAGTTGCTTAGAACACTGGGAGGTTAATTGACTTTTCCAGGATCACATAGCTAGTATGTGTCAGAGAAAGGACTTAAAAAACTAGATCTTTCTGCTTCCAAGGCCATTTCTCTATCCATTTCTCTACACTGCCTCTCTCTCCAAAAGAGTAAGATGGAAACCAGTTAAGACAAGAACCATTAATGTCGTGTGGAACAAAATGGGGGAGGGGGAGATGGCCCGTCTTGTGTACCCACCTATGTAGTATAGCATATACTCAGAATTGGATCTCATGACCCTATTGATTTATGGATCCATCAATGAACTATGCACCATGGTGATGTGGTACAGTTTTCCAGAGATGCTCCTAGCCAAAGAGAATTCTTTGTGCTTCTTGAGTGTATTTTATTTGAGATCCTCAAAGATCTTTAATATATGCATGAAATGGTTTTCAGATGCTGTGTATTATTCTCTTCAGTGGATTGATTAAAGATGGTAGCAATTCTACTTGGGCCAATTTGCATAAAGTGACTGATCATAAAAACAAAGGCTTGTGTTCCATCAAAGAAAGGGGTCAGTTCTAAAAAGAACTACAGAAAGCCAAGCCCTACCAAAAACAAACAAACCTTATTAACAAGTAAAATAAAAGTGAGTGATAAAATATTTCATGCAGGAAAGGTATTCCAACTTTGTCGTATTTTTTTAAAGGCTCTCTATTTTTTGCATATAAAATTAAAGTCATTTGCTACAAAAGTTATATAACTCATTTTTAACCCTGGCAGTACCCATAAACCAGAAACTAGAAGCTCAATTAGCCCCACAGACTTGGCGTATAGTAATCAGACAATTGAGTCAATTGAAGCAAAGGTATTCTTCAGTTAATTCAAAGGGACAAAATAATGACTAGTGATGGGATCTTAAACAAAATGGATATACCTGCCAATCAGCATTTGTGGGAAAAAGGATTGATTTATGTACCGAGCATAAAAGCTGCACTTGTAGGTATGTATTAATAAACCTGCAAGTAAATCCTCTTTTTCTAG